TGTTGCTTAAACTGACTTTCGTTGTGGCGGATTGATCTTTTGCTATCATTGTAATTAATTTTATTAGGCTAAATAGAGTTTGAGTGAATCCTGCCAATAGAAAACTCGTGGATGCATTATCTAATCACCGAATCTATGCCAAACCGGCTCCTTTGTAACAGTCGTGCCAGGTGTTTAAGATGGACTTTTCAACGAGGAATGAGCTGTTGAGCAAGTTTCCTCCATAACCAAGCCAGTTATTCATAGAGGTGCAAGTAACCAAATCGTAATGCATCCCATCGAGAATCTCGGCTGCCGAGTTTTCAGACGACATCGTCAAATGTCCCCGGACAAGCTGAAGGCAGCCAAATGTATGTTTTAATGATCCAGTACATGCTGGTATTATTTTCAGTCAAAGAGTGCATGGGCGTCTTCACTTCATTTGGTCCAAAACTAAGGTAGGAATGAATGGAGTCTTGTGCTGATTTCAGAAGGCTGAATGCTTTAACGGTCCCAGATAGATATCCTCCGACGTGATCATAGCCCCAAAAGGCAAAAACAATTTTCTGAAAAGTTGACCTAAAATATTTAGATCTCTGTGAATCTTGATCACATAGATAATACGATCGTCATCACGCCATTTTGTTTGTTAAAGTTTAATAGGACGCCTTTGAGACTCAAAAACGCCGTAGTGACGTTCTAGATACTAATAGAGGAGGCTACATGTGGTCTAGAAATAGTCTTCTTCTACATTACCTACATATTTATTGCTAGAGGCGATAGGGAACAGCATAAACAGCAGATTGTTTAACTGTTTAAAAGAATATCCCCTAATCAACTGGTGATTTCCCCCGAAAAATGTGTTTTTGGTGTCGATTCCTTGACATTCCCCGGACAGCGTATTGATGCTTACAGCATGCTAGAAGGTCAGGAGAGTGTCTTGTTTATCAAAAACTTTGCGCTTTAACGCACAGTCAAAGCTGTAAGATATTCTTTCGGCTTGATACATTTGTATCGTCGCTTCATTCCAAACTCTGCAGACATGCTAAATTCTTTGGAAGAGTGTCTAAAAGACCCCAAAAAGGACATCTCACTATCTAAAGATACGCAGGGCATTTTCGAACACATTCAAACTGACCTCGCCGAAGTGACCATGTTAGCACATCCAGATTCAGATACAGATCTTGGCCTCATGATGTACGCCTCCGACGAGGCTTTGAGTGGTGCACTTTATCATGTTGTTGATGAAACTCATCAACCTCTCGCTTTCTACCCTCAAAGACTCACTCAAACAGAGCAAAGATACCACAACATTAACCGCGAATTCTTGGTGGTCTATTCATCAATGAAATACTTCATACATATGTTAATTGTAAGTCAATTTCACGTTTTACCTGATCACAAACCCTTGTGTAGGGCTTATAAAAGCGCTTCACACAAGTATTCCCCGTGCAAATTCCACCAAATGAAGTAAATCGCACATTTCACCAGCAATGTGAGATATATAAAAGGAAAAGATTACATTGTCGCAATCACCCTATCCTGCATTGTTATGGCCTATTTGTATACCTATCGCTAAAACTGTTTATCAAGCCATGACAGCAGCACAGAACAGGGAACGCTATTAAATCATCGATCACCGATGGCCCAAACTGACGATGACGCCGGCAGAGATGCCCCAAGGTGCCAAGCTCTGCTGTGATTTGTCAATGGGAAAACATCCCGTCCTTTAGTCACTTCCGCCATGCAGAAATCGGTATTCCAAGTCGTTCATAATTTTACACACCAAGGCCTATGTGCGTCCAGGAAATGAATCACAAGCCATTTTTTCTAGCCAGAAATGCAAACATAGATTGAAAAGTGGACTAATGCCTGCCTAGTTCGCCAAAAGAAAAAGGTGCACATAAACACTAAAGCTTATGCTGGGAGTTTAAGCCAATTTCCGAAATATTCAACCACATACATCTAGACTTTGTTTGCTCTCTTTTCCTTCTAAGTAATAGTGCTTTCCCCTTAAAATTATGAACCGTTTCACACGATGGCCAGAAGCTATTCCAATGCCAGACAAACAGGCAAAGACGGTTGCATGAATATTTGTCACTCACTGGGTTTAAAGGTTTGGCACACCAGCAGCTATCACAACCAACATAGGCAAGCAGTTCGAATCCGATATTTTCGCCCAACTATCCAAATTATTAGGAACGAAAATGATTTACACGTGCGCCTACCAAAAACAAACGAACGGTTTGGTAGAGCGCTTTCATCGGCAGTCTATAGCCTGTCTAAGATGCCAGAGAAACTCGGACAAGTGAGCAAAAGATTTTCCTTTAGTCCTGTTAAGCTTGAGGACCACGGTCAAGGCAGAAACCAATTGCAACCCAGCAGAAATGGTTTAGAGATATCAGCTACGATTGCCCAATGATTTTGTTGACCCTACTAACATTGGGGAACCATCTGCTGACAATTTTTAAAAGTTGATAAATACGATTTAGAAACTACGCAGTATACCTTTCAGGCGAACTATCTGCAAGTCGGAAGTGCATGAATACCTCATTGTTTGCG